TCGGGGTGGCGCTGGGGCGGGGCCCACCCAGCCCCCCGCGGGACTGAATTGGGGGGCCCAGCCCCCCTCACTCCTCCTCGCCCTGGTCTGGGGCGGGGAGCTGTCCGAGCTTTCAAAGATGCGGCCTTCGGCGCATCGGCCGGACCGAGGGCCAGCCCGGAGCGGGCGCGCGGGCTGCGGTGGGGAGCCTGCCCGCCCCGGGGCGGCTCACCCGGGGCGCAGGCCCTCCACACGTTCGGACTCTCCTCCCTAAGATCTCTGGCTGCCTTTGCAAGTGGTTCTGAAGTCGCCCCGTGAGGTGCCCGAGGCCGGACTTTCTTGGGGGTTGGGGTGGGTAGTGGCAGTCTCCTGAGCCCGGGGCAACCTCCGGAGTCACGAGTGGGGGTCCAGGTCGGGCCTGCGGGGCGTCCTGATGCCTGAGCCCGCGGGCGGCGGCCGGAGCCCGCAGGTGGGGGCACTCTCCCGGGGCAGCGCGGGCTCCTCCCCACGCCCGGGCAGCCAGGCCGCTCGCGAACTCACCAGGCAGCCAAGGCGAGGGGTGGCAAAGCAGGGACAGGCGACCCTGGCATACACAGGTGCAGCAAACCAGTGATTGGGGGACCTCCCCCCCACCGGACTGGCCCTCCTTCCTGGCCATGGCTGCAGTGGTCCACCCCCTTCCGTGCTGAAAGGAGGCGCACTGCCATCTGCTAACGGGGACTTGTCCCCTGCTCCAGGCGAGGAGGGCAGGCCCGGGGAGGTGCCCGGCCTATGGGTGGAGAGGCTCTTACAGCAGGCCACACTTCCTAAGCTCAGGTCTTCCGGACAGGTGAGGCCCGGGTGGCTGTGGCCGAGGGCAGCTCACGAGCGCCAGGGAGGAAAGCAGCAGGCGGGTGGGTTAAGGTTTGTCATTTCTTTATTGAGGGGGGCGTCATTCAGTAGAGATCTTTGTGCTGGTCCCAGTGTGCACACAGGCATATACACACGCAGATGCACACACGCACACATACACACATGTATACATACACCAGGCCAGAGCTCTGGGGGCTGAGGTGATGCTCTTCTCACAGGGGAGAATTAGAGACTGGTTCCAGAAGAGGGTCGGCTTCTGAGGCTGTGGTGCCTCCCTGGTGGGGAGCCAGCTGTCTGAAGCCAGGGCGCAGCGGACCGTGCTGGGGGGGCCCAGGGCTGGGCTGAGAGGTGCTGTGTGGACAGAGCGGCCTCCGTCCCCCTCCCTGCTCTGGTGGTCAGACCAGCACTGCCCCTGAGAGGCAGATCCTCGGGGAGGTGACCTGAAGACCCTGAGTGCTTCGGGGGCCTTTCTCCATGCCAGGTGTGTCAGAGGACCACCTTGCGGTCCAGGTGGTCCCCGCGCCCGCTGCGCTGGTGCCTCACTTCTAGGTGCTGGTTCTGGACCTTCTCAAAGTGCCGCAGCAGCTCTGCGTAGTCGATGCTGGCAGAGTCACCTTTCTGGGACTTGGGGGCAGCCTTCAGACTATCTCTGAAAGAGGGGCAGAGGAGGATGTGAGTGCGGGGGCCGCGGGGGCTGCTGGGAGTGTCTGGCCACCCCTCCCCAATAACCCGCCAAATGACCAGCCCCAGGGGCTGAGGGGAAGGGGAGCCCTGGGCACCCACTCTCCTGCAGTTGGTGGGAAAGGCCAGCCTGCAGCTTGGCGGTTACTCAGCCTGTGGGCTGGCAATGGCGCCCAGAGCAGGCATTGCATGGGGAAGCATTTCCTGTTTACCAGTGGCTCCCTTTGGGGTGAAAGCCAGAGCCAGCAGCCAGCCAGGAAGCCAGCTGGGGCCTGGAACAGGGTCTGGGGAGAAAGAGGAGGAGACAGCTTGGCCCTTTCTCCAACTGAGATTACGGAAAACTCGAAGGGGCCCTCAATTTGGCAGGGATTTGTTTTGGGGTTTTGGGGAATGACCTGAGACCTGCAGTCACTTCCCGGGGGTGGGGTGGGGAGGGGAGAGCTGGCCTCACCCCGGACATGCTGATGATAGCTCCTACCCTCCATGCTGTGCAGCAGCACGGGCTGTGCACTGCACCATGGCGTGTGGCGCTACCTATACTGGTGCCATGTAGTAGGCACCTGTTACCCCACTGCAAGCCCAGTGCTGAGCTTGCCCTTGGGGACTGGAGTCTCTTGGGCTCCTGCCCCACTTCTACCCACTCGTCCAGCACAGGCTCCTGCAGCCTTTCGTTCCTCTCACGCTGGTCTTCCTGGCTTGGAGGAGAGCTGCATGAGCTGCTGCTGTGGACCAGAAGTCCCTGGCAAGGGGTCTCATGAACCGTGGGCTGCTCAGCTAAGTGGAGAAGCCTTGGGTCTTTTGAGTTCAATGACGAGACCTCAATGTTGAACAATACAAGCAACAGCGAAGTGCAGGAGCGAGGCAGGCTGGACCCAACCTGAACACGACTGCATCCTACTCTCCAGCAGGTGACTCAGTTTCCTCATCTGCCAAGAGGGATTGCCACAGGCAACACACCCAGGGGACCAGGTCTTTTTCTAGATGGGATGTCTAATAGGTTTAGCCTTGTGTCCAGGCCCAGCCAGTGTGGTCACAGTTCTTCTACGAGGTGAAGCATGCCAGGACCAGCACTTAGTCCTGGCCCTCCCCTCCTGTCACGGACATGCTTGGCCAGACATGGGCCTCCGCTGGCCAGGGGCTGACAGGCATCTCAGGCTCACCAGGCTTCAGGTCAGGACAGGGGACGGCCCTCCACACACAGCTAAGATGCCATGTGGGCCGCCTGGCCTGGGCAGCCTCCTGCCCCCAGCCCATCACTGCCTCTGAGTAAGCCTCCCCGCCCTCCAGCCCTCACCACAGGGGGTTCTAGCGAGGTGGTGTGGGGTGCACTCTAGCCAGCTGGGCCCGAGAGGCATGGCATGCTAGGTTCTTGCTGCTGCTTTCGACTCCCTTGGAACAAGGAGAGGGTTCTCTCTGGTACAATGACCTTGTGGCCAAGGTGTCACTACCCCAAGAGAGTGTGGGAGATGAGGGGACACAGATGGACACCTGAGCTTGGAGCACTAACTCTAGGGCTTGGCTAGCTGATACCTAGGCCGCCCTGGCTGGGACAGGAGAGGGCATGAAGATGAAAGGAGTCATCTGAGTTTGGGTGCCCACAGGTCCTCCCACTGTGCCGGCCATCCTGAGAGCTGAAGTCTAGGGCTGGAGTTTTGTGGACATGCTGGTAAGACATGGCGATGGCGTGGGGGTGGGGGGTGATGTACAAAGAGAAGGGGGTGTGTAGCAAGACATCCTGCCCATGTGGGCAGACCCCTCCTGGCCTAGGTCTGTGTTCCCACGGAGCTGATCTGAGCCTCGAAGCCATGATTCCTCTCCCTGGCCTTGTCTGTTTCCAGTAACCCTCCGGCACTGGGTGACAGGAATACTGGGTCAGTAGGGCAGAATTATGATTCCAGAGCCCGAGCTGGGCCTCCTCCTGCCACCCCTCACACCCACCTGCCACCAGCTTTCTGTTCACAAGGTCCCTCTTGCCTCAGCGAGGAGACGGTCCCTGGGGAGCGGCCACGATGCCATGAGCACACCCAGGGAAGGGCAGGCAAGGAACGCAGAAACTTCTCCAGCTGTTCCCCGCTTCCAGGCCTGTCTACCAGCTGCCCTGGCTGAGATGCTCCTCAGTCTCCGTCCCTCGGCTCCCACCCTGCAACCTGACCCCGCCCCAGCTGTCTGAGGCCCCTTCCTCACCCACTGCTCTGGTGTGTCTAAGTGCGCTTCCCAGGCCCTGGCAAAGAAGGGCCAGCAACGGGAGGCCTGGAAGACCGAGAAGAGCCCTCCACATCTATTTAGTCCAAATGAAGAAGCCAGGAGTCCAGAGAAGGCATAGAGTTTGTCTGAGGCCACCCGGCAAACCTCTGGCAGAGATCCTAAACCAAACCTGTAAGCCACCAAATGCCCCAGTTCAAGTTTTCCTTGACTCTGTGGCGAGCCTGAAGAAATCCTCTCTCCTTCCAATGGGCCCTCATGTGGCTTGGGTAGACCAGCGAAGGGTCTTGTTACCCCCAGCCTTCCCTCCCATCCCAAGACCAGAGAGCACCGGGCACTTGAGGGCTCTGAGCAGAGCTCAGCTCGCAGCCCGGCCCCGATGCCTCCCTCAGGAGGGCAGGCTGGTTGCTACTGGAAGCCATCCTCTTTTTCCTCTTCCCCCAGCACCTGCCCTGCTCAGTGCCTACCAGGACAGCCAACGAGCCCCACAGGAGCCAATGCAGAGGCCGGGCTCAGGAGGTGGATTATGGCTTCAGGGTCTTTCTGGAATCTCAGGAGCAGCAAGCATTCTGATGGGAATCTAAATACAGGCCCCACCCCAGGCTGACCTCTAGCTCCCGGGGACACCCACTAAGTCCATAGTGCTGTCTCCTGGGGCACCATTGGGTGGCACCCAGAGCAGCTGAGATGGTAGCCAGCATAAGGCCTGTTCCTACCACCCAGAGTGCTGCTGTCTAGGAAAAAGGGCGAGAAAGGCAGGGAGCTGGGCCCCGTGTGGCCCGGGACAGGCTATCAAGTGCCTCACACCCAGCTGAGGAGAGGCTGGGCTGAGTGGAGGGAGGTTGGGAGCCTCAGCCCAGTGGTCTGGGGTAGCCAGGAGTGGCAACAGGCCCAACCTGAGGGTGTTCGAGTCTACCCTGTGGGCAGAGGCCTGAGGCCTTTGCTGGAGCAAGGCGCCAGGCCTGCTGAGCAGCTCCAACAGCCGAGGAGGGAATTCTAGACACAGGGCATCTGATGCAAGCTGGGTGCACTCCATTCAGTGTAAATCTTCTCAGTGGCTCTGCTTGTTTCCATGGCAACCTGACAAGTGAAATTTTCCATCTCGGATGCCAAATGCCTGTGGATGAGGCAAGGCCTCCAAGGGTTACCAAATATAGACACAGCCCAACAGGCCATGGGGCCGGGCCAGCAGTGGGTTCAGGGTGGGTGCTTGGACCCCCCTCCCCCGCCCAGAGGAGGTCAGGATCCCAGCGGCAGAGCTGAGCGTATACCCCTGCCTCCTGCGCCATGGAGGATGGTGGGGGGAAGGCCTGGGTGATGCGTGGCTTCCACATTTGAGCCTCTCATACGGAGGGGCCAGCGAGGCTATGTGAGGGCTGGACTCTGGCCTGACTGCCACTTGGGCCACTATCTCCCTCCATCTCCACGGGGTGCCTTTCTAAGATCTTAGCGTGAACCCCGACCTCATTGAACAGGTACAGGAGGGCAATGCTTAGGGCCACGGTGACAGATGAGTGTGGTGCCCAGGCCGGGGGGGGAGGGGGCTCCCTCGGAGCCAGCACTCACTCGGTCTGCAGCAGCTCAGGGTTAGGCACACACTGGAGCCGGTGGGATAGCAGCTGGAAGGCGCTGCTCTGGGGCAGCAGCATGAGCAGGCCGTACAGCGCCTTGATCAGGTATGGGTTGTTCTTCACATCCAGCAGCTGCAGGCGCAGATCTGCAGAAAGGCAGAGGGAGGGGTCAGAGTCCTGGCACTGCTCTGGAGCATACCCAGCCCATCGCCTGGCCCCAGCGCACATTCAGGCCAAGAACTCGGCCTGAGCGGGGCCGGACAGGTGGCTGAGGCTGAGCCGGTCAGGCGCACTTCCATGGCCAGCCAGGCCTGTCCACTCCTCCAGGTCTCAGCTGTTCCCATGATGTCATCTCTCTTCCTGTCTGCCCACCCCATCTTTCCAGCAGTCTCCTTAGCCTAAGGACCCTCACACTTGCCGCCAGGTGTGGCCCACCTTCCCTATGTGTGGCTGCCCCCCTGAAGTAGGTGGGCTGGGGGCCTGGAGAGTAACAGATTCCCTAGTTGGCTCCACACGTGCCAGCACGAGTGCTATAAATAGGCTGAGCTGGAGAGAAAGACAGTGGACTAGGGCAGCACTGAGGGCAGGGAGGAGGGCACATGCTTTTGTGTGTAGTGACGCATACAGCAGAGCCTGGAGGCCCGGGCCCTCCGCTCCCCTCTTTTTCCCACAGCAGGAGATGCAGCCCTGGTCTTCAGCCATCACCAGTCCAACCTGGGGTACCAGATTGGCTGGTGGCCATACCTAGGGGTAGAACCAGCTGTCCTAAGGCTGACGTGGGCTCATTTCTCACCTGAGCCTTGGCAGGAAGACCAGAAGCTCCTCCTCCCACTGACGGGCATCTTTGGGGATGACAACCCAAACCTCATGGAGAGCAAGGGCGCTGGGGTTGCTGGGAGTCTGGGCATCCGGGCCTTGGGGCCAGGGTGAGGGGAAGCCAGGAAGCAGGAATCACAAATGGAGACTGGTCCAGCTGTGCCCAGGCCCAGCCACCCACAGCACAGTCAACTCTGTAACTGGTACAAACCCCCTGTTTCTTAGCACACAACCCCCAAGATGGTCGGATCTTGGGATCTCGGAAGTGAGTGCTTTTGCGTGTGAACGCACCGCTGCTGGCTGACACCCCCTCCCCCAGTTCCAGATGGGTTGATCACAGTAAGGGAAAGTCCCAGAAAGGGTAAGAGACTAAATGTTGAGCTGATCACCAAGTCAATGACGTGGTTAGTCATGCCTGACTACAAACCCCCAAAGGGCGGCTCCGAGGGCCTGCTAGAGGGAGTGCCCTTCTTGCGCACCTGGCTCCATGGGCCTTTTGTAATAGCCTTTTTAAGAAAGGGGTAACCGTGTTCCCCTCAGTTCTTATGAGCCACTCCAGCAAACAAATCCAACCTAAGGGGAGCTGTGGGAGCCCTGATTTTCAGGACCAGGGACCTGGGACCAACATGCAGTGGTACGGAGCCGCTGGGGGACCAGCCTGTGTGATCTGACGGGTTTTCCAGGTAGCAATGAACTGGATTACAGGGTGCCTAGCCCATGGGAGGCCTGCTGCTGATGGGAAGAGATCCTTACACCCGTGAGGTGACAGGAGAGTTTGGTGGTGACTTTACGGGACATGCTGGGGAAAAGGTTTAAGCCATCCCCGTGGCTCGTAAGCAGCATGGACCTGTCACCAGTCCCTTGGGGAAGCTAGGCCGGGCCTGCCCGGAGTCCGAGTCAGCCTCCAGGTAACGTATGTGGATGGGTGCTGGGGTGGGTGGTGAGTGCATGTGCTGCTGTCGGTACCTTTTCCAGCCCATGCCGGAGAAGCTACCCATGGCCTTGCCTGGGTCAGCCTGGACCTCACCTCAGGTGAACCCCGGGCACGTCAGTGCACAGGAGGCGGCGTGCTTGGGAAGGCTGGGAACAGGGTCTTGTCCCCAAGACCTGAGTCACGGTGGCACCGGCTGCTTGGAGCGGCTGACCCTTGCAATGGGAGGGAGTTGGGGGGTGCTGGGCTCCAGGGCTCAGGCTGGGGAGGCTGGAGATGCTGCCTAGGAGCTGGAGGCCTGGCAGCCGGCTTGGCAAGGTCCCCAGCTGTCACCAGAAGTGCTGCCTGTTTTGGGGAGCAGCACTGCATGTGCTGCTGTTCCCCCGCAGCTGCCGCTTCTGCACATTGTCATGCATCAGGCAGCCTCAGCCCATTGACTCCAGCACACATCATTTCTTCTTTCAGAGAGGGCCCGGCTCCTGGGTGAGCAGGAGTACCTGCAGGGTACCCACAACCACAGGACTAGGGCAGAGGGTGACATGTTAGGAAGTGGTGACTGGGGATACTTCTGGAACAGGGCATGTGTGCACTCTGTAATCCCAGCACTCAGGAGGCTGAGGCAGGAGGATCTGACTTTGAGACTAGTTTGGGTTACATAGCAAGACTGTCTCAAAAACCAATCAACAAATATGCCCTATAAAAAACCCTTCAGGTAGATTGTGTGCCAGCACTGGCTCATGTCTACAAGATCCCTAAGGACAGACAGGACCAAGTTCAGATGCCAGTGTTCCAGTTAGACTTTCAGCCCTGTCACCCGCCCCCTCCCCATCTTACATTCTTGACATTCTAGAAGCATCCCTGAAGCGACTGTCTTCCCTCCCTTCCCAGCTTCAGCCAAAAGCAGTCTTTGGGCTGGCCCTGTCCCAGTCTCAGTCGCGGCCAGCCTGTGGCTGAGTGACAAAGGACGATCCGGAGGTGGGGGTTCTTACATGTGAAGATGGGGCACTCGATCAGCTGTACCAGCTTGTCCACCTCCGTGAGGAAGTCCACGGTGACCTCCAGGTCCCCACTGGGTGGGCAGTCAAGGAAGGTTTCGGGGTAGAGTCTGTGTCTGGGAGGGGGTGGCTGGAGCCCTGGCTCGGCGCTTCGTGCATCTCTCCTCTGCAGCCCTCGCTTCCTGGGCCGAGCCCGCCTCTTGCTAAGCAGGATTTGGCACACAAAGGACAGATGTCTGTTTTCTTTCCCTTTCTGTCCCTCTAAATGGAGAGCAGCACAGCCGTGCCTCCTGAGCGGGGCTGGTTCCGCTCTGGCAGCTCTCTTCTGCACCCCCTGGCCCGGAAAGGCTCTTATCTCAGCCCTGCAGCCTGGCAGGGGAGGGCGGGGCAGGAAAGGCCCCTGCCCCTGCCTGAGAGGTCAGCTCCCTGCAGGCCACCGCGTGCAAGGAGCTGGGCAGGAGCCTCCCAGCTCTGGGTCCTAACCAAGAGGGGCAAGGTGAGGGTGTGGAAGGTGGGCAGACTCCCTGAGTCAGGGAGGGTCGGCCACACCTGAGCCTCAACGTGGCCCCCTATAGGCGCCTTTCCTTACCCTTGGCCCCTGGTCCATTAGTGGGGGGAGTCTAGTTTTGTCTCCTACATAATGCTTGATTCCAAGGTCGCATGGCAGGTGCACAGAAGTTATTTTACTTCTGTGTTTAAAAAAACCTGGCTGTGGATGCCTGTTGGTGAGGCAGGTGCTGTGGCGCGCGTGGGCTCTTCCCCACACCTCTTCCTGAGACCTCCACGCTGCCTGCTTCTCCTCCTGTGTCTTCTGCAGAGCTGGCTCTGGTTCTGTGGCCTCTGGCGTCCTGACACCTGAGCTCACCCGTGGGCCTCACCTATACATGCCTGGCACATCCCAGCATGCCCCTTTTTTTCTTTTTTTGGTCGTGGGGCTAGAACTCTGGGCCTGGGCACCATCCCCGAGCTCTTCAGCTCAAGGCTGGCATTCTACCACATGAGCCACGGTACCACTTCTGGTTTTCTGGTAGTTAATTGGAGGTAAGAGTCTCAAGGACTCCTCTGCCTGGGCTGGCTTTGAACTGTGATCCTCAGATCTCAGCCTCCTGAGTAGGATTAGAGGTGTGAGCCACTGGCGCCTGGCCCAACACATTCTGGTGCCAGGTCCTCTCCACTGCTCAACTCTGGGCACGGCATAGAGTGCTACAAGTGCACTTCTGTGCAGGGGCTGCAGTGTGCTCCTGCATCGCTCCTCCGGGGCTGGAGCAGGGGGCTCCCCTCAGCCCCACCCCCACTGCTGCCATTTCTCCAGGCCTACCCACTGCACCCTACTAAGAGGCTCGAGGAGGGCCCCGCCTGCGGCCAGCAGCTCTCTCCCGAACACATCCCTCGCCGTGCTCTGGCAGTGGCACGGAGGCCTCTGTGTGCCCTGCAGCTGAGCGGGGGTGGAGGGGGCACGGGGAAGCCGTGAGAGAAGGATACAACTTCTGAATGAGGTCATAGGCGTGCCGGTAGTTCTGGGTGAGGAAGCAGAGGGACACCGTGGTGACGGGGTTGTGGCACCAGGAGCGGTACAGGCAGCAGAACAGGTTCTGGCTCTCCTGGGAGAGGTACAGCATTAGGCGGCCCTGCTCTGCTCTCCTCCCTACCAGACCCACAGGGCACCCGTGGCGCGAAGGCCTTGGAGGGGCAGTGAAATGGGCCTTTGGGCGCATCCGGGGTGCCAGCTCAGCACCCGGCTGTATTTGGCAGTCCAGCTGGGAACGAGCTGTCACAAAGGAAACGCTGACAGCTCCTTCTCAGACCCTGTCATTACCTCCAAGCCCCACAGAGCCACGTGGTGACGGTGGCGGCGGTGGCAAGGGCCTGGTTGGGGGCGAGTCTACCCTTTGTAAGCTGGCATTTCTGCCCCCCAGCAAAAGGACAGGAATTGTCCCCCACAGAACACTGTGGTCCTGAAGCCTGGGGTAGGGGGGAGAAGGGGGTACAGGCAGGAGGGTACTTCCTGAGGACCCAGCTCTTCTCTCCATCCTGAGCGCCGTCCCCCCAGCCCTCCCCCCCAGGAGCCACCTCGTGTACTTAGTGTACTTGGAAATACTTGGGAAGCCCCTGCCCCCAAGGAAAATTCTTAAGGCCTCTACAAATGTCTGGAAGGAACCACAGGAGGAAGAAGGCAGGGCTGTGGCCTGGGTCGTTCTGAACTACTTTGCCCTAGATGCCCGCAAGACATAGGCTTAGATGGCTTGAGACTCTTAGGGAAGGGGCGGGAGCGGGGGTTCGGGGTGGGTGGGTGACCTAGGCCCAGACCAGGGAGTAACCCCAGGATGGAACTAGGCCTTTGGCTTGGAGACACAGGACTTTTGACCTTCATCTCTTCAGCATCCTGCAGTGTCTCCTTGCTCTGCTCTCTCTGACCAGCCCTTGGGCAAAGCATGGGACAGGAAGCAATGTGACACCCTGGCTTACAACAGGCATTTTATCAGACAGATGTGTCCAGCTGTGGGAGAGACAGGCCAGGACAAGAAGGGAGAGGAGAATAATTAACCTCTGGCTCCCTGGTAGGATTACAATACTGACCTTGAAATGGGGGGGGGCTCTGCCTAGTGTGTGTGGGGGTGGCCTGGAGCCAGCAGAGCCTGTTTTCTGGGAGCAGTGTGGGTGGGGCAGGAGTCAATGACAGGAAAAGGATGGATTACCAGTGGGGGTCGGGGGCATGGGGACTCTGCATCAAGCATGGAGCCTTCTGAGGGTAGCTATTGATCACTCACTCCAACATGTAGCCATCCACCCAGAACCTCCATATTTTATACAGCCAGAGAAGGTCCCTATTTCATTCTTGTCTCCTCCATGATTCTCCCGGGGCAGCCAAGGGGTGGCAGAGTGTGTGTGCATGCAAGCCTAATCCAGGGTTGGAGCCCCTGGGCACAGAGTACCAGAGTCTTCAGGTCCTTGAGCTGGTTCCTCAGTTGGAAGAGCTCGGCAGAGGTGAGCAGGATGGTGTTGAGGGTGTGCACCATAGTGGAGGCAAACTTGAGGTCCTCCTCCTGGAGCAGGATGTCGGCCATGGAATGGAAGATGTTCTCTGCGTTTAGTAGGAGACAGAGCTGCCTGCAAAACAGTTGCAGTAGCAATGAGGTTCTGGCGGCCTGGACACGTCTGGGCATGGGTTTGGGTTTGGGAAGCCTCCTCCTGATGTTCTTGGGCTTGTTTGGGGCTCAGACCCTGAGGCACAGGGGGGACCTCAAAGATGCTTGCAGGAGGCCTAACCCATGCTGCCCACCCAGCCCTGCCATCTTCTGAGCTCTTACATATACACTGGGGTCCCACCTGTCAAGGAACTGCTGCTGCTTCTGGATATTCCCTCTCTTGACAAACCTCACCTTCACCTGACATGTTCTCCACATACAACTCATACATTATTATTTCCCCTCAAGAAAGCAACCCCCACCCACCGCAATCAGGGGCTATGCTGCTCACATTCTGTCTGCTGCTTAGAGTGAAACCTGCAGGTAGCAGGAACCTGAAAGGCCAATCATTGGGCTGAAGGGACCCTTGGATGGCCCTGAGCTGTGTCTTCCTGCTATAGACGAGGAAACGGGTTTGGAGATGGGAAGAAGCTGGATCAAGATGTGGGACCGGGTGAGCCAGCACCTGGCCCCACTGGCCCCCATGTCCCTCCTCCAGTAGAAGTCCTGGGAGTAGGGGCTAAACTTAGCGCACGCGATTTCCTGTTGTAAAAATGAAGCCAGGGAGTCTGGGGAAGGAAGAAAAGTAGCTTTTCCAGGATCTCCAAAGCAGGGTGATGTCAGCCTGCTGACTAGGCCACCATGCTTTCAGAGGCCCAGTCTAGATGGGAAGAGCCCCCCAAACCACCTGGGCAATGATGACCTGGCTGGCATAGGGCGGGAGTGGGCAACCTGGTGGAGGGGGGTGGTGGCTCATGGCGCTCTGCCCTCACAACCTCCAATGTGCAGCCGATACTGTCTCCTGACTCCTAGTCCCTGATCCAGGGGCCTGGGCCTCGAGGTCTCAGGCACTAAGCAACAGGAGCCACACTTGGAGGCTACAGGCCTGACACAGGTCTAGTTCCTTCTAGGCTCTGAAAGCATACCGATCACAGTTCGCATGATCAGTCGTCCATTTCCTGCTTCCCTCTGAATTCCAGCCATGGCTTTGTGACCAGGCTGGAGAAGATTCCACCCCACCCCACTGCCTGCTCTGGAAAAATCCCAGAGCATTTGGTAACGGAGAGGCCAAACCACGAAGGCAAAACAGTGGGCAGGCTGTCTCCAGCCCTGCCCCACGTGGAAGTAGCAGGCTTGAGCAAGAGAAATCCCAATGAGACTGCAGCTCAGTGGGAGACGGGTAGTATGGACCTGGGAAGGAGGTGGGCACACCATCAACTCTGCTACACACATTCATCTGGGTGGGCAAAGGCCTTGGAGTCTGCTGCCCCATCCCCAGCTGTGCGGTACCAGTGTCTCTGTATAGCAATCTCACCATGGCTTTATTGGGGGCATGTCTGTAAAAGGTGGGGGGAACTAGTGGCAGGCAACTGGGAAGACGGCGCGCATCTTCTGTGAGGCACCCAGCATTCAGCATGTGGCACGTAGGCATGAGCCCTCATAGTGGGAACAATGGCCAGTCCCCAAGTGGGGCATATTGCCTCCACACACACAGTCGAGAGGCAGTGACCCTTCTGCAGAACCCAGACAGGGTTTCCTGTCCCCTCCCCCCCCTCTCCAAGGCCTATCTCCAAGGCCATAAGACAGAAATGTTCCAGAAGGGCAGGCTGGAGAGGGTGGGCAGTGCTCTGACAAATGGTCACAAGTGCCCGTCGCCTGCAGCTGCTGCCGTCTCCATGACAGAGGCCAACAGCTGAGTGGCTGCCAGGCAGCACTCTCCAGGGACCCAAGGCCAGCCCAGCGGGCCTGCAACAGCCGGAGGGTGGGGCCTCTCCCGGGAGGATGGGCTGGGGAGGGTGAGGAGGGAGCAGTAGAGGCGAGGTGAGACAGGTGCCGTGTTCTCCAGGTGTCCCGACCTGGGGAATGCAGACAGTACTACAGTTCAGGGATGGTGGGATTTTCTGGAAACAGGCTTCTCTTGCCACTGTTGGACAGTACCTTCTCTTGTTTTTTCCTTCCACCTTGCTGACTGCGCCTGCACCGCTGTGGTCGGGGGTCCCTCTATTCTTCTCTCTGGTGTGTCTCCCTTGGGAGTTTGGGGTCCCGTGGGTATATCCACAGCTGCCTGGAGTCAGTGATCTTGCAAGTGTCTCTCCTGTCCACAGCTCCAAGCTCTTAGTGGGACAGTGCTTGCAGTAAATGTCTCTGCTGGCTGCCTGTCAGGCACTTCAAGCTTTGCAAGGCTACAACCTAACTTCAAATCCCCGTAGGGCTGTCTTCCATTGTAGTGAATGGCGTCAGTGGTCATCCAGCTGTTCAAGTCTGTACCAAAGAATCCTTATCGCCAGGCCCTCCATCCAGCCGGGCAGCAGACCCAAGGCTTTGCCTTCTGCCAGTTTCCTGCCTCAGTCTCCTTGTCCTGCTCAGCTACTACTGTCAGGGGCAAGAGCCAGTCATCTCTTGCTGGGTCCGTCCCGAGACCTCTTCATGCTTCCAAATGAGCGTGGGGTCTGTACTGGGTCCTTACCAGAGGCTTGTCACTGGACCATCTACAAGACCTCATGTCTTCTGGTGGCTTCCTCTCCAGCTTCAGCTCCTACATCTTTTGCTCAGAACAACTTCCCAGGCTTTCCTTCCGTTTCAGACGTACATGCATGCTGTGCCTTGAGGCCTTGCTGTATTCCTGCAAAGCTCTGGCCAGGGAGGTCTCAGCTCTGCCTGGGTCCTACTGAGGCCTTGGTTCGACACATCTATTCCTGCTTTTCTCAGAGCATTTGCTACGGTCTCGTGGGACACTTGTCTGCTCTGTTCCCATCTATCCCATGCTAGGATGTGAGCTGCTAAGGCAGGGCCTTGTCTGCAACCCACACGAGGGCCTGTATGTAGCAGGCAGCCTCCTTCCCTCCCCTCTTCTTCCTTCCCTTCTCTCTTGGCAATACTGTGGCTTGAACTCAGGGTTTTGTACTTGCTAGGGAGATGCTCTACCACTCGAGCCATGCCTCTAGCCCTTTACACTTTAGTTACTTTTCTGACAGAGGGTTTGAGCCTTGTGCACAGGGCCAGTGTGAGACTGATCTACCTGGCTTCCAGGTGCCTCTGGGATGGCAGACGTATACCACTACATGGCCTGAGTTACACTTTTACGCTCACCTTCTAGGCCAGGCTGCCCTGCCTCCTCAGTCCTCTCTGTGTCTCCCCTCTCCTGCTGAAGAAGATTTGGGGGGGCCAACTCATGCCAGGATGACTCTGGAGTACATGCTTCCATGGCAGCCTGAAGGACTGGCACCAATCTATCAGCTTTTCATTACTGTGACAAAATGCCTGTGGCCATGAACTTCTGAAGACAAAGGGTTTCTTTAGTTCATAGTTCTGGAGGTTCCAGCCCAAGACTGGTGGTTCACATCATGATGGTGTGTCAACCATGACACCACCTTGCTAGGCGTCTCTCTACTGAAAAGACCATGGAGGGCAGAGGAAGCAGGGAGCAGGCAGGGAGCAGGTACTCAGAGTGCAGGAGTTGGGAACACCCCAGCCTGGCCTCAGAACTCCCCTTTCCCCCCAGGCTCTGGACATTTGCTGCTAACCCTGCTAAGAGACTACAGCAGAGGCTAGGGGTGATGCTCCTGGGCCTGAGGCGGCCAGGTTCCACCCAGCACGGATCCCGCCCTGCAGCAAGGGAAAGGGCAGAGTGGGAGGCACAGCTTCTTCCCCACAAGGTCACCCTAGGTTGAGGAGGACGACGACTCCCAGGTGACTGGGCTGAGCTGCTTCTTTGGCATCTTGCTGCGGCAGGGTATATGTAGCTGCACCCCCATGTGGAGGAGTCTGAGGTTCAGAGAGAACTCACATTGCTCGACACACAGCTGACTGGAGACCAACAGAGAACTCAGACTCAGAAGAGCAACTTCCAGAACCAGAGTCCCTCCTCAACACCCCGCCCCCTCGGTGCCCGTGGCTGCCGGGCAGAGGCCTGGCAGATGGCTGCCGTGCAGGGCTGCTGCGTCATCATTTCTCTGTGGAGCCCTGGCCTGGCTTGAGTTGTCTGCCTGGCTCTCAGGCACAGCGTCAATAATGGAACACAGCTTGCAAGCATTACACATTTGCTCATATTTTTTAATACCCACATGAAAGGGCTATTCACCACGAGACAGCGGCCTGGGAAGTGCTTGGGGCCGAGGCAGGAAGGTGAGGTGGGAGGGAATCTGAGTGGCGTCTGGAGGGGGGGACGCATGGGGAACTCTTGTCCATTCTGATAGTGGGCAGGGGTCTATAGGCACATGTGTCCTGTCAGTAAGGTGTGTGCCAGGGAACAGCTGAAAGGAAATGGCCTGGGAGGAGGACTGAAGACCACTAAGAGTCCTGAGTGGGGAGAAAGGGGCAGCTGGACACGGCCCCATGGACACAGCTCTGTCTTTTACTTTTAGGCTTCCTGCTGCTGCCCTCTGGCCTCTCTCCTTCCTACCAAGGGCTCACAAGGCCAGGGGCAGTACTTGGGGCAGGCAGTGTCTGCCTCAAGTGGCTGTACCACACTTGTCAGGCTGGTGAGCCTTTGCGTCCCTGTTCTTCCAGCCACAATGCTGACCAAGCAGGCCAACTTAGACCAAGCATCCATGGATGAAGACCAACAGAGGAGCTGCTCCATGGCCATTGTCTCCAAACAACCCAGTGCTTCTTCCTACTGCCTGCCCCCTCCGCCGCAAAGTTCCCCCCTACCCCCCTTGGCTGGATGGAGGCTCAGCTGGGGAGAGGGGCAGAGAATGAGGCAGCTTGCATGGTGCTGGGGACTGTGGGCAGGTCCTTTCAGGACAGACCTACCCTGGGGGTCAGGTGGATTGACAAGGTGGAGGGGCAGGAATGGACCTTTCACTCCCGGGCCTGCCTGCAGGTACAGAGGCTGCACTCCAGGGCGTGGGTCCTGGAGGGCGGAGGCCTGACTCCCAGCACCCTTTCTTGGTGGGCATGGATTCTGAGTCCCCTCGGTGG